TAATATGTTGCCAACTTTGGAAATGATCAAGCAAAGCCCACCCGAAATGCATGCGTCATTTATAGATGGACACTGGTTAGTTAATCACCCACCTGGCTTCCTGATTGGATAGGAAGCCTGGGAAGCTGCAGCCATGCTCTCCTGCAGCTTCCCAGGCACTGAGGACTGCGTCTGTTATGTGAGGAATGTAAGTGGCAAGTGCTGCTGCGCTCTGTATCACTGAGCCGATCAAAGAGAGATCTTTGTGATCTCTCCACTGGCTCAGTGACTAAAAACACAGCACCCGCTGTTGCAGTTCCAGTGTTGCACTCGGGGTGATTAGGGTGTGCACGCCTATGGCTGGTGTATTGCTGGTGTGATGCTGTATTTGTATCTGCGCTGAGTTCCCGGGTCTGTACACCTGCTGTGCCCAGCCGAGGTTCAGCTTTAAAGGAGAACTAAAATTTGAGTGCTTTTCACTCACCTCATAGTTCTAGCCGACCTGTGACAATGAGACTGTCACAGGTCGGCTCAGTAAATTGGGAGGTGAGCGAACACATACCGGCGTTCGCTCACCTCTCGATCCTGTCACGGCTCTCTGCCGTGACAGGGTAGGGGCTGGATTCCCCCCTCCCCGCTCCGATCCTCCAGCGCTGACTGGCGGAATGGATGGGGGAGGGGGCGGGCACAGCTGGCTCTGACTCTAGATAGGCAGAGCCAGCTGTCACTCACGCAGCTGGGCGGATCCCGGCACAATTGTCGGGATCCGCTTCAGCTGCGGCGTCTCAGTATACCGCGAGCTGCAGCTCGCGGTATACTGAGCCTAGGGTGACGGGAGGATGCTAGTTTGTGTCCTCCCGTTACCCTAAGGAGAACTATGGGGAAAAGCCCTGACCCCATAGTTCTCCTTTAAGATAATAAGCAAAATCCATTGGAGAAAACAAATTCTTTCTCCAGGCTTATGATCATCCTCTGATCTGACTGTGATCAATGGTTCTTCGGTTGACCATACAAGAGCCAGTCACCAGCCCTAATTTCACTATCCAAAGAAGTAATATAAATTGTATAACATCATCCGAAGTGTTGAGTGTAAGATAACCTGTATAATAATAGTAGATGAAGAAGTCATTTAAACTTAATAACATCATCCAGAGGAATGATACAATTTGTCTACTACACAACGGAGTCACATAAATTGTATAACACGACACAAGGAAGTGATATAACATGCACAAAGGAATAATATTATCTGTATAACATCAAATGAGTAACAGAAATTACATCCTACTGCACAAAGAAGTCATAGAGACTGTACACCGAGTGGCCAGATTATTATGACCACCCCATCAGTACTTCGTTGGGCCGCCTTTTGCCTTCAATACTGCGGCGATTTTTCTTGGCATTGACTCCACGAGATGTTGAAAGGTGATGCGAGGAATCTGACGCCATGCCTGATGAATAGCGCTGTCCAGTTCTGTGAGATTTGATGGTTGTGGAACCAGCTGCCTGATTGGCTCTTTCAACTTCGTCCCACAAATGCTGCAATTGGATTGAGATCTGGTGATTGTGGGGGCCACCTAAGCAAGGTAAAGTCTCCCTCATGTTCTTGAAACTACTCCTGCACAATACGAGCACCGTGGCATGGCGCATTGTCTTGTTGGAAGAAGCCATCTCCATTGGGATACGCCATCAACGTGATCGGATGAGCTTGATCAGCAACGATACTTTGGTATGTTGTGCTATTCAGACGTTGTTCCACACGAATTAAAGGGCCCAAATCATGCCAGGAAAACACGCCCCAAACCATAACACTCCTGACCGCGCGGCAATCCGTGCGGAATCGTGCACGATTGCCGCACGGTAGGGTGTCGCATAGGTGTGCACACCTCTCCTTCTCTGAGCTCTGCTGTACAGGGACTGCAAGAGGCTGGTGCCGTGTCAAATGTAGGCACTTGCACGGTTTCCTTTAATAAATGATGTATTAGTTATTGCAGAGCTGCATTGAGTTGTGCCTGGAGTTTGCCTTTAATGTGACTTTGCCTGAAACAATAGCAGTGTAAAACCTGGCTTTGCTGTCAGTGTGATTTGGGATTTCGGAGTCATCTCTGCAGATAAAATTACAGTGTGTGGTGCATTGTGGAGGCAGGTTGAAGAGCTGCGTGTAATTGGGAAGATGTGTAATAATTATATGCAAATCAGGCCGAGCTCTTTAAACGAAGTGAGCCGCCAGTATCCGGGTACCTGCGGGTCCACACATTGCGATTTCAGTGATGATCATTTCCATTGAGACGTGCTGATCTGCAACAGCGGGAGGGCAGCTTATGTAATAGCAGAACAAATGAAAACTCAGACATTGCACGAACTGACCAATCAGAAGCTTGCCCTCATTTTCTAGCTTTCTCTAAATAAACAATAACTGGAATTTCATTGGCCACGGCAGGCAGTACTTCCCCCTTCACTTGCACTAGGATTTTCACTGGTCAAATTTGACAGTTAAAGGAGAACTATGGAGTTAAGGCTTTTCCACATAGTTCTCCTTAGTGTAACGGGAGGACACAAACTAGCGTCCTCCAATCACCCTAAGCTCGCGGTATACTGAGACGCGGCAGCTGAAGCGGATCCCGACAATTGTGCCGGGATCCGCCCAGCTGCGTGACTGACAGCTGGCTCTGCCTATCTAGAGGCAGAGCCAGCTGTGTCCGCCCCATCCCCCGTCCGTTCCGCCAGTCAGCGCTGGAGAATCGGAGCGGGGAGGGGGGAATGCAGCCCCTCCCCTGTGACGGCAGAGAGCCATGACAGGATCGAGAGGTGAGCGAACGCCGGTATGTGTTCGCTCACTTGCCGATCTACTGAGCCGACCTGTGACAGTCTCATTGTCACAGGTCGGCTAGAACTATGAGGCTGAGTGAAAAGCACCCCCTCATAGTTCTCCTTTAAAGTATATCAAACCCAGTAGACATGTGCGATCCGTTTGATTCCGAATCATAATTCGTACGAATTTTCTGAAATTCTGACATTCAGACCCATCCGAATTTCCAAATCCCAATTTATCCAGATCTGAATTTCGGTTTCCGAATTTCGGATTCCATCATGCGACTTTTCTGGAACAAATGTGTTTTTCGGTTTAATGCATCCGAATGGGTCTGAATACAAATTTGTGTTACAGCAACATGGGAGCCATATACATATAATACTAAAGCTGAGGCTCCCAGACCCGAATGGCATGCGGGATCCGAATTTCCAAATTGCATTGGGGAGCTCCCGAACGCCATTCTGGTCTGGGAGCCTCAGCTTTAGTAATATATGTACACTGAGTGGTCAGATTATTATGACCACCCCATCAGTACTTCGTTGGGCCGCCTCGTGACTCCACGAGATGGTGAAAGGTGATGCGAGGAATCTGACACTGCACTGTTGCCCTTCTGTTGTCTTGTACCAGTCTTGCCCCTCCCCCGTTCTGCCCTAACATTGACTAGTCGCTGACGGCCACAATTCGCACGTTCAGACCCAGATTTTCGGCTGACAGTCCGGTCTTTAAACACTTTAACAACAGCTGCTCTTTAACATTTAACGAATTCTGCTGTTTTGCTGATACTCGCTCCATGGCTCCGAGCGCCAACAATCATCCCACGTTCAATGGCTGTTTAATCGTGTTGTTTCCCCGTATCTTCAGAAACAAATAATTTCTACTGTCGTGGTAAACAACCCGCTTCCCTATTTATAATGGTCTGGCCCTCTAGCAACTTCAGCGCCAAATTATAGCTAATTTGCCTACAAACGTCAGGTGGTCATAATAATCTGGCCACTCAGTGTATATGGCTCCCAGACCCGAATGGTATTCATGAGCTCCCCAATACAATTTGGAAATTAGGATCCCAGATGCCATTCGGGTCTGGGAGCTTCAGCTTTAGTATTAATATCTGTATCTGGTTTTCTGTGGTACTCACAATGAAAATTCGTTCATAAACTCATCCGAAACTAACGAAAATTCGGATTTCGTCCGAATCCTCAACCTCAAACCGAATTTCGTACGAGAATCCCAAAATAACGAACTACCCGAACCGAATCTTTCTGGAGTTTACATGTCTAACACCCAGTCCCTAAAATCTCATAGGGGTTTAACATGGTATTGGAAATGTAATAGTCATTTTCAGTTATTGTAAAGAAGAACTGTGAGCAGAATAAAACATAACCCTTGCAGCTGGGCTACCCGGCTCGTTTTGATCTAGGCTCTAAAATAACAAAGATATACTCACCATAACCTCAGACCCGTCTAGCTGCTAGACCGGTCCCTGCAGCTTCTCTACCTCTCCGCTCCGGCAGTAGAATGTCGGCATCCCTAACATATTACACCATATTAGCTATGATGACTCACGGGTCCTTAGACCACCGGAGTGGAGGGAAGTGATTATATAATATATATATATGTATATATATATATATATATC